TGCTCCCCAAAACCAGGAATCCGCCGCAATGGGCGGTCAAATTGGCTCAGGCTGATATCGACATACGCTCACTCAATGTTAATGGACTCATACAAGCGACGCCTGAAAAAAAACAAGCCATATGGACAATGCTCAAGTGCCCGGACATCGGCAGGTGGCCAGATGAGGTGTGTGTCCAAGAAACGCACCTCCAAGACACCCCTTCGCACGTGGAAAAAGGAAAAACATCTGGCCTTACGCCTCCTTCCAGGCCCCTGCAACAGAAAGGGCGTCAGCAGGAGTGGCGATTTGATCCCCCCCTCCTCCAGGCTTAAACCACTATCTGCACAACACGACCATTTGTGGGGCAGATGGATATGCCTGAGGGTAGCATATGAAGGGGGCGTGTTTTATCTTGTCAACATCTACGCCCCTAACGATCCTGTGCATAGGGTGGACCTGTGGCTTACCTTACTCCAGCAACTCCCGGATGACGCCCCGATTATAATGGCAGGGGCCGGACACAGGTCGACCTCGCAACGACTGGACCCGCCAGCGTCATCGCTGCCACAGCTAGGGCCGGACATCCTTATGCTCAGGCAACTGATGGCGGACAGGGGCCTGCAGGATGCCTACAAAATGTTACATCCAACACAAAGGGCCTACACGTGCTTGTCCTCCAGGGGGGACCGGGGTCCGGCCAATTCACGTATAGACCTCATGCTCGTCTCTAAGGACTTACTTGGCCTGGTCACCACTGCCGAAATAACTACCATCAGTCCATGTAAGACCTTTGACCATAGAATGATCACGCTGGGACTCTCCTTCCACACCCACATCAAAAGGGGACCAGGGTTTTATAAATTCAATGCCTCGCTGCTATCCCTACCCAAATTTAAAGACTTGGTTAATGAATTTTGGATCTACTGGCAGTCCCAGAAACCGGAATTTGGGGATAGGGTTGCCTGGTTCAATAATGGTATAGCTCAGCTAAGGGATAGGGCCAAAAAAAATTATATTCAATATGCACGGGATCGTAAAGCCATTCTGGATAAACTCATGCGAGACCTGGAAGAGTGGGATGACACGCAGATGGCTGACCCTCTACATCAGCCCTCGTTCCAGCAACTGCAAGAAGCACGAGATCACCTTCAGGCATATATACAAAGTCAAACCCAAGCATGGAGGATTCAGGCTATAATTAAAAAATCCCATACTGACGGGACATTGGCAAAGTCTTTCTTTCGTAAAGCTAAAGCCAGAACCCGGGCTGCCACAGTCCCTAGACTCAAGCATCCCCTCCACGAAGATGCGCAGGTGGCCTCTAACGCGTATGCAATTGCGGACTATGCTTCCCAGTACTACCAGCACCTGTTTACCTCCCAGACCCCCAACAAGGACCTGGCCGAGGTTTTGCGAGCAAGAGAAGATCTGCTACAAGCACTCCAGTCCCGCCTCACACCGGATCAAAAACATCACCTGGAAGGCCCTATTTCCTCTATCGAAATTTGGGAGGCCCTGAAAGGAATGGAAGATGAGAAAACACCTGGTATCGTTTGGGTGCACTTTTGGGATCTGCTCTAGGACGATCTTATGAGCTATATAGCGGCAATTCAGGTAGAGGGTTCCTTCGGGGGAATGATTGGCCAGGGAGTTACCACACTCCTCTATAAGAAAGAGGACAAGGAGGATATAAGGAACAATAGACCCATCACCCTCCTCCCGGTCCCCTACAAAATGGTTGCTAAGGCGTTGACCAACCGCCTGCTACCCCTGATGAACATGTTGATTCATCCGGACCAAACTGGATTTATGCCTAACCGCAATATCCAAGATAACATCCTTTTAGTCAATGAGACTATCAAGTATGCCAGAAAATGGAGAGTACCGGCGGCAATTCTGTTCATTGACTTTGAAAAAGCGTATGACCACGTTGACTGGGACTTCTTGGACATGTGTCTGGCTAAGATGAACTTCGGACCGTCATTCTGCCACTGGATTCGCCGCCTCCACAGGTCAGCCACCACGAACATAATGATCAACGGTCATCTTTCACCCCCCATTGCATTGCAGAGATCGGTGCGCCAGGGAGACCCTATTGTGCCGCTACTCTTTGTTATTGTAATGGAGACTCTCGCATCATTGATCAGGGCCCACCCGCAGATTAGCAAGGTGCCCATCCCTGAACTCCCGCAGCACCTCATTCCGATGACGTCGCTGTTTGCGGATGATCTCACCGTTCTCATACGTGCAGACGCCGAAAGCATCCGGGTTCTCACGCGAGTTATACATCAGTTCTCATTAGCGGCAGATATGAAAGTTAATTGGGGCTCCAAGACGGAAGGTTGGTGGCTGTGCCCTCTGGACCAGCCCCCCCCTGCTGCAGCCTGTAGTTAAGTGGCAAGCAAAAGAAGAAGCCATTAGGATTCTGGGCGTCAAACTGACAGCACTGGGCCCTCCCCCGGATCACGGGGACGCACTGGTACACCTGGCAATAGACCGCCTGGCAAAGTGGGAAGGTCTCCAAACCTCGCTGGTGGGCCGGGCCTTGGCAATTAACAACGCTATCCTCGCGGCGATATGGTACAAGCTAGTGGTGTGGCCATTAACGAAACAACAATACGCCCGCCTGAGAAGTGCACTCACCACTTACCTGTGGAAAAATGCAGCAAACTCCCAAACATGCATCCACAAAGTGGGCTGGGACGTCCTCACCCAACCAAGCCTCAAAGGGGGACTCGGTATTCTCGATCCCGAAAGAGAAAGCAAAGCACTGATCTTCAAAGTAATCGTCAGATTGTTGTTGGGGAACGACATCCCTTGGGGGCCCCTGGTCTGCATACAAATAGCTAACCTGGCCCTGCAGGTGACGGGCACACAGGGGGTATGGCTAACTAACAGCCACTGGAAGGTTCCGAGCCCGCGCCAGCATGGACACGCAGCAACCGCCCCGGCACAAGCGACCCGTCAAGACATCCCGAACGATCCCTTGTGGCCCTTCATGATCAAACTTTGGAGGAAACGGGGCCCCACGCAAAAACATCCCCACAACCGATGGCACAAGGTGTGGAGGCAACCACTCTTCGGCAACCCCCATATCCTGGATCATGCAGGCAACCCCTTCCTGCTCACTACAACTCTCAATGGTTGATTTGGGCAAAGAATAAGATTTATACCATTGGGGACCTGTGGGATCCTAAAACGAACGCCTGGGCAACACCGCAACACCTCCAAACTAGACTAAGGTACGTAAAGAAAGTGGACGAAAAACTGGACCAGTTAAGGGAGGCTCTGCCTTTGGTCTGGCAAGCTGCCCTTGCTGCAGGACCCACAATACAACAACACGTCTGGGTCGTCAGATATGCTGACCTCCCCCTCCCGCCCGCAGTGTATAGAGTACTGACGAACGACGGAGGGAGATGTGCAATGGAAGCTT